TACCTTGTTTTCACTTTATTTGGGTTGGGCCAGATCATGCTCATCCCTAATTATAGCTATAACTAAGTGACCATTCAATTCTTTCATTTACTACAGACTCTGACTTCAGTTCCTTTTTTTCTTTCTTATTCAGATTAGTCCATAAATATTTGTTTATTAGAAGCATCTTCTTAAAACTATAAATTATACATCAAAGCAGGGGCGGATCCAGACTTTATATATTAGTGTGACTAAACATAAAAGAAATTATCGACTAAAATATATTGAAAATAAAAAATAATATTGTTTGATGAAGTGTATTTACAATGAAAACCGTCTAGTATCAATTTCTTGAAAATGAGCTAAAATAACATCATTGTTAATTGTTCCAAGAACATCTCTTTCTATAAAAGTTACAAGACGATCATTTAACCATTGATCACCCATTTTGTTACATAGCTGACTCTTCACAAACTTCATAGCTGAAAAAACACGTTCCACGCTCGCAGTTGCTACTGGCAAGACTAAAGCCAACTTCAGAAGCTTATAAACTATATCAAAAGTGTTGCATTTTTTTGTTTCCACAAGTTTTGCACAAAGATCTGAAAGTCCGTTTAAATTTACAAATTTTGGATCACATCGAACATTTCTAACATAATTCTGAAGCTGATGTCGTACCGCCACTTCCGGCACATCTACAAAATCATTTGGATAAAGTTCAACCATCCTCAATAATTTTTTCACATCAAAAGATTCAAATGATGATGAGGGACTCAAACATGAAACACATTGTAAAAGTTCAGTATTCTCTTCATCAAACCTAGCATTGAGCTCATGCAACTGCAAATCTAAAACACTACATAAACAATCATGCTTATAATGATGCAAATTAGAAACACTAGAAGTGATAGCATATCGTCTAGGTTTCTTCCCTTGCACGTACGCTGCATCCAAATCAGGCACATCAATATCATGCTTATTGCAAATTTCCATAACCTTAGATATAAGTTCTTCCCATCCATGATTTCTCATTTCTTGTAATTCCTGTTTGGTGGCTTTGACAAGTGATAAAGCATTCAAAAGATCTTGATCACGCTTTTGTAGCACTACACTTAAATCATTTGTAAATCCTAAAATCTCAACCATCATGTATAACATGAAAATAAAATCAAAGGACTGAAGCACATCTAGCAAAATCATAGTTTCACCATATTTTTCAAATGACGTATCTTTCCCGACTTCTTCAAGTACCTCAATAATGGCACCATATAAAGTCATCAAACTAGTGAGAGTCCTAAAGTGGGAACCCCAACGAGTGTCACCCGCTCTAGCAATAGACGATTCTTGATTTAATCCACTATCAGTCTCTATCTCACCCTCTTCAATCAATTTAGCAAATTGAGATACTTGTTTGTCCCGAAGCAATTCTTGTCTCTTGTTAGAAGACCGTATGAAATTAACAAGCATATTGACCTTACCGAAAAAACCACTAACATCTTTGTGAGTCTTAGCACATGCAACAAGTGCTAATTGAAGTTGATGGGCAAAACAATGCACATAATAAGCTGATGGATTTTCATTTTGAATTAAAGTTCTCAAACCATCAAACTTACCTCGCATATTGCTAGCTCCATCATATCCTTGCCCCCTTATGCTAGATAAACTCAAGCCATTAATAGACAACAACTTCTCAAGTGCCTCCTTAAGTGACTTAGCACTTGTTTCTTTAACACTAACAATCCCAAGAAACATTTCTTTTACCAAACCATCACTATTAACATAGCGAATAACAACAGCCATTTGTTCTTTACCAGCAACGTCACCGGATTCATCAATCAAAACACAAAACACATCATCCGCAATATCACATACAATTTGTTTAGTTATTTCACATGCACAAGCAGCAGCAAGATCCTTTTGAATCTTAGGGGCAGTCATAAAGTTATTTCCTGGAGCACAATTTATTACCTTAGCTATCTCTGGGTTAATTTCCTTTAGAGTGTCCACCAACTCAAGAAATGGCCCCTTAAATAAAGAGTTAAAGGACCCGTCACTCCCTTTAAATGGCATGCCACACCTCAAAAGAAACTTAGTAGCTATAAGAGATGTGTTTACACGAACACGATATTCAGAATTCATTTGTTTAGTTTGATTAACAAATGCAACCTTAATACTTTGGTTTGGGTTCATGAGAGCGTAACTCATATGCACACAATCAATATGACTATTGGAAGAAGTTCCATGATTAGCCAATCTGTGAGAATTCTTCCAATCACCAAACCCCTCTGTCACAAAGTGATCTCCCCCGTATTTAGAGACATTCTTAAACAAAAAACATGGCAAGCAAAATGCCAGGTCCTTAGATTCACTATAATCAATCCAATCATACAAATCAAACCAATTTTTGCAAAATCTACGTCTTTGATTACCTTGAACAGACCAAGGGTAAACAAAATTGTAAGGAGGTTTATGACGACCTATTTTTAAATAAGCTTTCCTTACCTCATTTTGGATGTCAGGATGATAACTTGAAATTGGAGGCCTAATTCCTGGATCGATTTCCAACAATTCATAATCGACAACTTTAATACTCTCACTTGGATGTTGAGTTTCCGATGCTTCTAGATTTACCGAAGAAGTAGCTTTGTCTCTAGAAAGCACAGGAAAAAATTTCTTCATCCTATAAAGAGAACAATGAAACCATTAAAATTAGCTATTCACTCTATAAAGAAAATAATAAGAACAATTTATTGTAAAGAAAATATTTATGAGAAATTGAAAATTTACTTTTTTAAAAAACAAATTGGGGTTTTAGGGTTCAACTCAAATAGAACAAAAGAATAAGAAAATTTTGAAGTAGTTAGTTTACCTTTGATTTTCAATCACCCATAAACAATGCAAAATGGTGGGGTTATTGGATTAATGAGAGAAAGAGACAAATATGGAAGTTGGTGGAGTTTGAGAAGAAGAGAAAGGGTTTACTGTGTGAGAGAGAAAGAAATAAAAGAGAGAGAAAATTAAGAGATAAAAGTGAGTTGAAGAGTTACATAATATTAAATATTAAAATTAATTAATTAATTAAATATATATTAATATTAGAAAAGAAAAAAAATCTGGTGTGGCTATAGCCACACCTAGCCTAAACGTACATCCGCCCCGCCCCTGCATCAAAGTACTACTTATTCAAACCACAAATTACATGTTTAGAGTTTTGATGACCATGTTTTTACATGAATTAAAAACAGAATATATATATATATCATAAACAATACTTAATATATATAATTAGTCATATTTATTATGGTATCTGTCTGTGTTATGAAAGAGTAGTATTAGAAAAGTAAAGGGTAAGTGGTGAGATCCGAAGCAGGTTGTTATCCAGTATTATGAGGGTGTTGTTAGCTGGATGAGTAGGCTGTAAGGTCAAAGCAAACATGCGAGGACCTAAATTTGAGAAACCGACAGACTCATAATCTACTGCTCCATTTTCCATCATTTCAAAACGCCCATCTTCTGCTCTTGCATCATCTCAAATTTGAATAGGTTGTAAGTGATTATTTGTAAAGAGCGCTTAAAATATAAGTGGTATATATTAAAAAAATTAGACAACACTTTAAATAAAAAAGCGCTGCCTATAATAGAAAATAAAAAGCGCTGCCTAAAGGGGTGTACTACAAAGCGCTTCTAAAGTAAAAAGTACCGCCTAAAAGAGACTTTAGAGAGCGCTTTAAAAAAAGCGCTACCTAAAACAGAAAAAAGCTGAACTAAAATATACATTACACAGCGCTTTAAAAAGTACTGTCTAAAGTAAAAGCACTGTCTAAAGGGGTGCATTAGAAAACGTTTATGAAGTAAAAAACGCTTCCTATAGTGGCCTTTAGAGAGCACTTATGGAATAAAGCGTTGCCTAAAGGCGACATTAAGCAACACTTTTACATTGACAAAAAACACTGTCTTTACTTACAGCACCGCAGGAATAGGCAATACTTTAAAGTACTGTCTATGGCAAAAAAAAAATGCTGTCTATTCCCTTATATGGCGTAGTGATGATTTTAGGAGACACTACTAAAAAAATGACATTTGAGAAAAGGTTTTTACATCAGGTATCAAAATATATGATGTAAAAAATAAAATTAAAAACATTTTACATCAGGTATTTATTTGCATTGATATAAATAATATGGAAAAAAATATTTTTCGCTATCTATTACATCGGGCCATGTAATCCACCGATGTAAAAGGTTTCGTGAAAAAAATACGGTGACATTTTTGTAAATAAGAAACAAGGTGGCAGAATTATAAATAAAAAACTGGCAAGATATTACATCGGGGCTTATTAAAACCAATGTAAAAAGTCCACGGGCAGATTGGTAATATAAAAAATATATTAAAAATCTTACATCGGGGCATACTAAAAACCGATATAAAAAAACATCAACGCTCGAACCTTACATCGGGCCATTCTTTTAACCATGTAAAAAACTACCTTACATCGGGCCTTCTGTAAACCGATGTAAAAAACATCAGCCCAGAACCTTGCATTGGACCAATCTAAAAACCGATGTAAAAACATTAACACAAAAAAAACTAAAAAAGAAAACCATTAAACACGTTACATACTGTAACGTTTTATTTCTTCTTCAAAGAAGAAAATTCTCTCTTCTTTCTATTTCATAAACATCACCATCATCATTGTCTTTCTTTTCATATCTCATCATCCCTTTTAATAAATAAACTGAGAAATAAAAAAATAAGTTGAGAGTAAGAAGAAGGCAGACGGACGAACCAGGAGGCCGAAGTGGTGGTTCACGGTTGAGACCGGCGGCCGGCGCGACGGCGCAACCACGAACCTTATTTTTTTCAATTTTTTTTAAACTTTTCTTGTTCGTATTGATACTCTCTTTTCAAATTCCAAACTAATTTTTCAAAAACAATTATCAAAAAGAGTAGATCTATAAAAAACTTTTGAAAGATTTTTAGTTCACAACAACATCAAACATCACAGAACAAGAGATTAGAGAATGATTCCGGTAACAGGGAAGGATGAGCAATCTTTTGAAGGTGAAAAGATGATGAATGGAGCGGTCTGAGGGGATGATGGCGGAGGAGGTTTTCGGCGAGGCTTAGGGGCGGAGGAGGAGTGCTTTTCGGCGACGGTTCCAAGCAGTTGTTCAGGTAAGAGTGGGTTTTTTCCAACTTATCTTTTGCATGATTTCTGGGGATATGGATTGTAACAGAGCTACTACTAATTGTAACTCCTAACCCTTTCTTTTGATTGAGACATATATAGCTAGCAGTCTCTTTCTCTCTTCTTCTTCATAAATTTATTTTTTATTTTTTATTTTTTATTTTTTATCATCTTCTTTTCTTTGTGACTTTTTCTTGATTCCTTTTTACTAGTGTTTGTTTATCATGTTTATGTATCATTAGCAGAAATGTTGTTTTGTTTTCATCACTTTTTTATCTAAGAAATGAAAAATGAAATCTTGTGTTCTTCTGTTTTAGATTAGGATTAAAGTTGAGAAGTTGTCTGAAAATGGAAGGTAAATGCAGTTGCATGGAATACACAATCAATATTGGTGAACTTGATACATAATAGAACATAAAATTATGTCTGCATTTTCTGTGTGAATTTTTAAACCAGGAAGATTTGTATAATACTTTCAAATTCATTTAGTGCTCGCACTTGGAAATCTGGTTTCCTGCATTTTTCATTTCAGGAAATTATTGATGTTGCGGATAAAAAGCTGAATGGGCTCAAGAGAAGCGTTGGTAAAGCGGCATATAATGCGGTGGTGGCAGCTCTAACAGAGTTAAATGAATTCAATCCTAGTGGGCGATATGTAACCTCAGAATTGTGGAACAATGCTGAGGACAGAAGAGCAACTCTGCAAGAAGGAATACAATTTCTGTTGGACAACTCATCAAACAAACGCGAGAGGGGAAAAGCTACCATGGGAAGGTTTGTATTTGTTATAATAATCTATACACTGCATTTCCCTTCAAGAAGTTACATGTGATTTCTACTTCTAGTATATATTTGGAGTCTCTCATATGTGATTACTGCTTCTGTTTTAATTACCAGCCATGCTAATACAATTTGAATTACAGGAAGGGTGAATGATGATTAAAGAGAAGAAGAAACTCAAGAAAGTGCTTAGTTAAGGAAGAATTTCTAGCGTGGCACAATCAAACTGATGTTAGCAACTTTTGTATTATCTATCTCTAGCATGCAAAATTATGACTACAATTATCTTAGCATGTTCTAATTCTTAGTAATGAGCATTGTGTTTTTATAATAGTAGAGGAATAATGAGAGAATAATGACGATAAGTAGTCGGTGAAAAGGTGCACTTTCACAGCAGTAGGCCTTTTTTGAGAGAATAATAACGATAAGCAGTCGGTGTAAAGGTGCACTTGTGTATGAGCTCTTGTAAGTTTTAGTCCCTTTGAAAGCTTGTCTCAGGTCCTATAAAAATCCACTTTTGGGTTCTGACCACATCACCCTTAGCACTCTTGACTGGGAATCCGCAGCAGTGTTTTGTTTCTCCGGCTTGTATTCAAATAGTATTATGTCTGTGTGATATTAGAAAAATATGAAAAAATGGGTACAAATTATTTTTTTACAGGGAAACATCCAGAAAATAAATAATTTATTCTCAAAAAATAAATAATTTATTCTCAAAAAATTTCATACATTTTACATCGGTTATTACTCCAAACCGATGTAAAAAGTTGCGTCAATTTTTTTAAAATATTGTTATAATTGTTTTTTACATCAGTCTTAGATCACAACTTATGTAAAAAAGGGACTTTTTTACATCGGTCCACACGTTTAACCGATGTAAAAAGTTGCGTCAATTTTTTTAAAATATTGTTATAATTGTTTTTTACATCAGTCTTAGATCACAACCGATGTAAAAAAGGGACTTTTTACATCGGACCCAAAACCGATGTAAAAAGTACCTGATTTACTATATCGCCTGACTTTACATCGGACCCAGAACCGATGTAAAAAGTCAGTTTCACCCGATGTAAAAAGTCATTTCTGCACTAGTGAGAAGACACATTTTGTCATCTTTAGGGGAATACTAAACTAATTCCACCACAAGTATGAGAAGGTGGATCTTGCATCATCTTGAGGGAAGAGCTCCTAACTTGGATATAAGATCAACAAGTTGTCACTAGCTCCCTCAAGTGGAAAGAACCACATTTAATTAAAACATTACTATAGGGATAGGAGAATTACATCTTAACTATAAAGGTGACTCATGTATAATCTCTTTGAGAAAAGATTTTAATATGAAAAAGTCAAAGTGGCCAAAAGATTTGGGTGAAGTTGAATCTCTTTTAGTCTTTTGAAATTGTTTAATATGCTTAAGTGTATTGAAGCATTTATTAAAGAAAAGAAGTTTGAAAATGCAATGATATAAAGTCAAGGTTTTTATATGAAAGAAGTTCAAGTTTGAAATTAAGGTTTGAAGGTATAAAGGTAAATACATAAGGATGAACCTAAGACCTGCATATGCACATGACTATCTAGCCAACAAAACAATCCCTTTACTTGGATTTTTGACATAAATACTAATATAGTGAAGTATAAGCATCAACCATTATCACATGAACATTTAGATTTATATCAAAGCAAAGAACATGCAAGCTTAATGGATTAGGGTTTCACATATTCAAACAAGGCATTAATCACAACCTCAAACACATGGCAAGACAAAACCCTAATTTATCCAGGAAAAGCAACAAATCATTTGGATCAATTATATTCATGGCATTAAACATAAATTGATCATAGTATAGAACTAAAAATAAAATTCAGGTAAATACATTAAAGCATCGTGGTATTTAAAGAGAGTCATTTAAGAAAAATATTCACAAAAGTTTAAAAGAAAATACTAAGATTTAATTAAACAACTAAGCTATTTTGGGTTTTTTAATTAAGATATTTTAAACAAAATAAAATCAAAGATGAGTAAAATATTTTTGTTGTTTTTGAATATTAATTTTGACAAAATAAGAATCAAGAGAACAAAATAAAATAAATAAATGAACAATAACTAAAAAATAAATAAGAAGTAGAAATAAAAAGAGAGAAAATTAGTGCTAAAAATTAGGGAATGGTGGCCACAAGGGTTGAACCCACACCCTTACAGTCACAACACAAAATAGTTACCACTAGGTCACACGCTATGGCTTGACATAATACCCAACCACAAAAATGAAATATGAAACAAGTTGCTAAATGATTTTGAAATAAAATTGAGCTAAAGGTCTACGGCGAGGGGGATTCGAACCCTAGAGCCTTCGCTTCGCACACAAACACACAAATACTAGCACATGACCACTGGGGCACAATGCCAATTAGTTAATAAAACATATTCAACTAAATATATTATAAACTCAACTTCAAAAAAATTCAAAAAAGGGCGCCATCTGACTTATTCTTTAACCTTGAGACATCATCAATGCTGATTTTTGTATTTCTTCATTTCTCAACCAAATTAAAAAATATAAAAAGCAAACTTGCTTAAAATTTCACAAGGAATTAAAAATGTTCATATCATTAATTTATATTAACTCTATCACGTGAATTTAAATCAAAACTAGAAAAGCCTAACTATTTCATAGAGCTTTCATTCATGTCATTTAAACAATCAAAGTAGTATCAAGACATGCTCAAAATGATGCTTGTATGTGTGACTTCAAAATCAAGAAAAACTCAGCTATTGGATCAAGGTCCAATGCCTCTTTAAACACTTACAAAGATGAAATAACGATCTCTCTAGTTTGTATGCTGTCTCAGGAACACAATGCAACACTTAGTTTGTTTTGAAAATGTCTCAAACTTCTCAACAAAGTCACCTTACAATGATGAATGAGCACAGGTTGGGTGGAATGGTTGGGAGCTTACAGTGATCAACTAATGCATATAGAGGTTTATATGAGGTGTATATGTCGTGTTTGCATGGTTAGTTTGCAAAGAGATTGCAATGGATGATAAATTCAAAGAAATGGACTTTGATGCAACAATGGAGGTTTGTGGTTTTCTCTCTGAGTTTATGAGTGTTTGAGGGGATAATTTTGTGTGTTTTACAATGAAACACGGTCCTCTATTTATAGGGAGATTTAAGGGATCAATGGTTGGTCAAATTTCAAGCTCACAAGTTTATGGTTTTGGTTCAAATGTAAGTAGAAGTTACATGATTTATGGTGATTCCCATGCATGGCTTGAGTGATTTGTGCAACAATAGGGACACTTTTCTTCATAACATGATGTTTCTTCTAAGCATGCTTGATTATATAAAAAGTATGGTCTTAAAGCAAGATTTGTTGAGAAAAGAAAGCTTTGTGGAAATGGAAGTGGTTACTTTGTGCAAAATGCTCTCAAAGTGGTATGATTGTTGGACAATGCATCAAGCACATTGTGTAATACACTTAGGGTTTGTGCAAAACAAAAATATTATGAGATTTATAAGAAAAATAGGTTGAAAATAAAGATCTCATGGTTTGGCTTAGGTTTGGACATGTATTTGAATCAAAAATCTGACTTGTAAAACAACTTCACCATGGCAACTTCATCTCTTTGAAACTTGGTGCTCAATTAAAATAAATTCATGCTCTTGGTACCATTGGAAATATAGTCCAATCCTCTACAATTTTATGTTGATCACTTGGCTTGAATCATCTTGAATCAATGAGAAAACTGGGCAACAAAATTGGTCTTGTAAGCTGAAAAACGCTTAGAAAAATTTCTAAGTATTTGAACATTTTAACAACTTTGAGATGCCAACTTGATCAACTCATATCTTCAAATTCTCAAGATATTTTTGGTCAATCCATTCTAAAATGTTGAAATATGTAGGATCATATTTAAATACATCTCTTGGTCATGAAAAATGGTTGCTTGAGGAGGAAGTTACAAGCTTGTCAAGTGGGCTAAATGAACATAAAATTTAGTAACTTAGAGAAATTTTCAAAACCCTAAATTTCACATCTTTGATTATTTCTCTTGATTTTCTTAATTAAACTTGATAAAATGAATTCATCAACCATATTTTCATGATATTTGTCTTAAGAAGTCCATGGTTAACCAAAAAATTAAAAGTCAAACTTTAAATGTGAGCAGTTGACTTTTCATCAGATAAATTCCAAATCTTTAACTTATTAATGAATCATACTTCTTTATCCAATTAGGACATATGAGAGGGCCAAAAGGAATCATATGATAACCTTGGATCAAGTTTCAAACCATTAGTTCAAGATTTAGGTCAAAATTCAACATTTAGTCAACTTTGATAAAAAAAACCCTAATTTGAGGTGCAAATGAATTCGAAACTTGATAAAATTGAAATGATGCACACTTGAGATTGATTATTAATGAAGGGAAATAACTTGATCTCATGAATGAATGAATGAAAATATTGAATCATTAAGGAACCCATATATCTCTGACCAATCAAATACTTGAACTTCTAGATCCAACAGATCTATCTTGTGAAAGAAGCAAACAACACAAACCCTTGCACATGCATGAGGTTAGTGATTCCAAGATGAATGATATGATATATTGATGCTATGTAAATGATGCAAAAAGAGGTGGGATCTTAGGTCAAAAATTAGGGTACAACACTCATCATATAACAACACATAATATTCATCAACACTTCATACTCACAAATATATCACAATAGCACTTAGACACATTTCATCATCAAAATCCTCATATACTCACATAGTTTACAACTATCATCACATAAACACTCATCAACAAAATCATGCAATGTCATATAGGATGTTAATACATAAAACTGACTCAATGCACGTGGTACCAATATTTTAAGAACATCTGGTTCACCATCACCCTCCAAAGATCCCCACCATAGGATCGATTACCTATTGGAACCAGAGCACATCACAAACGCACTCAATCCACACAATAGGATCGAGGCTTGTCACAAGCAGACCATCATACAAAAATTCTATGAATGTATGATGCATGTAACACCCTTCTAACCCCACACACATTATCCATTTAAATTCACGAAATAAATCAAGTAATTTCACCACTCAAGGGTGTTACACTTCATAGGAACATCATAACAACAAATTCTT